ACCTAACCCCCGACTCCCTCCTTGTGGCGATCCCCGCCCTCGCCCGCTCAATCCCAGGAATCCATCGTCAGGTTGAGCCGAGAACCGCCCACTTTCTGCTCCGGTCGCAACAGAACGGATCTGAAGCCGAACACGTCTCAGTGTGATAATGTCGTTGTCGTCGTCGCGCGGACGAACCTTGTTGGAGAGCTCGTTGAAGAAGCTGCGGGCGAGCGAAGAGATTCTCTCATCCCCGTCGACCAGGAGCACGGCCATTTCGCTGATCTGCCCCTTCACCTTCACCATGTCTTTCAGGATCAAGTGGGTCATCACGATGAGAGCAGTGCGGCGGACGGACACAGAGCTGTCCCGCAGCCTGGGGATGGACAGGAGCAAAACGGGGAATGCACATGACATCGACTCACGTTAATGTAGCTCCCTCGGTAACCCCCAGCGCCCTGTGTTAGTGACTGTATCCCTACTCATGTTAATCCCTCTCCCTCACACTGTCACTCAGTAACCCCTCTCCCCCCTGCCCCCAGCACCCTGTGTTACTGACTGTATCCCTACTGACGTTAATCCCTCTCCCTCACACTGTCACTCAGTAACCCCTCTCCCCCACAGCGCCCTGTGTTACTGACTGTATCCCTACTGATGTTAACCTCCTTCCCTCGCCCTGTCACTCAGTAGCCCATGGGGCGAGCGAGGCGGTAGGCGACAGCTCACCTGGCATAGAGGTGCGGGGTCCATGGCTCAACGAGGTTGGGGAAACGGAAGGAGAGGTCACCGAGAGCCACCATGGTGTTGGCGCGGATGCTGGGCAGTGCCGACTTGTCAAGCATGGTGAACAACAGGCGGAGCTGGCTTTCGCAGAAGTCGTGGCTGGGTCAAGGACAGAGGGGAGGGAGATTAGAAGGAAAGAGGACAGTGTCTGGTGAACAATCCCGACGGTGCTCTGAACCATAGCTGGCAAAAGCTGGCTCTGTGGCGCCAGCTCATGCATCCTGTCCCCACCTATTCAGTGTCTCCCTGTAGCTCAAACCCTCCAACCCTGCCAATATCCTCGTAAACATTTTTCTGAACCCTTTCAAATTTCACAACATCCTTCCTACAGCAGGGAGACCAGAATTGAATGCAGTATTCCAGAAGTGGCCCTAACCAATGTCCTGTACAGCTGCAACATGACACTCCGAACTCCTGTACTCAATGCACTGACCAATAAAGGCAAGCGTACCAAACACCTTCTTCACCATCCTGTCTACCAGCAAACCCACTTTCAAGGAACTATGAACCTGCACCCCCAAGGTCTCTCTGTTCAGCAAGACTCCCCAGGACCTTTCCATTAAGTGTATAAGTCCTGTTGTGATTTGCCTTTCCCAAAATGAAGCTCTTCACATTTATCTATTGAGGAGGGGGCAGAGAGAGTTCAATTTAGATAAACGCGAGGTGCTGCATTTTCGGAAAGGCAAATCAGGGCTAGATTTATACACTTCATGGTAGAGGGGGGAAAAGATTTAAAAGGGAGCTGCTTTCATGCAGAGGGTAGTGTGCGTGTGGAACGAGCTGCCAGGGGAAGTGGTGGAGGCTGGTACAATGACAACATCGAAAAGGCATCCGGATGGGAAGGGATATGGGCCCAAATGCTGGGAAACGCGACCAGACTACCGTTCCCCTTGCCGTATGGCCGCACCCCCCAACCCTCTCCAGAGTTTGAGCCGTTCCCCCATCTTGCTCACCTGACCATGGCGATCTTGCAGAGGGCCAGAGCGGAAATTGTGCACAGGTCAGCATCGCTGTACTTGCCGGGGCTGGTGCAAACCCTCACGATCAGCGGCACAAAGGCAGACAGAAGCTGGTGTTCTGCAGAGGGACAGAGAGAGGGGGAAGAGAGAGACGGAGGAAGGGGAAGACACGGAGGGAGGGGGAGACACGGGGAGACAGAGAGAGAGAGAGACACAGAGAGAGCGAGACAGAGAGAGACGGAGACAGAGGGGGAGAGAGAGAGAGAGAGAGAGAGAGAGAGACGGAGACAGAGGGGGGGAGAGGGAGAGAGAGAGAGAGAGAGACGAATACAGTGACAGAGAGAGACAGAGAACAGTGAGGGGTTTGTAACCAGCTCCGGGAGGTGATCGAAGCCACCCCCCATCGTGTGACTAACTTAATCACTTCCAACCACCCCTCCCCGACTCCCACCCCAGGTTAACTAGTTACGCCCCTGGCGGGATGAGGTGGGGGCACGGTTTTCCACAAGCACGCTGAGGTCTTGGCTCACCGTCCAGCAGCTCCACGTCACAGATTCTCCGCACCAACTCCGCCTCGGTGTCGTCCACTGATGCCTCGGTCAGGCCTAGCTCGTCCTCCATGGCACTGCAGCTGGCTCTCTGAGGTTGGGGGAAAACGGAGAGAGAGGGAGAGCGAGAGCGAGAGAGACAGTGAGAGAGAGAGAGAGAGGAGCGAGAGAGCGAGCGGCAGAGACAGAGAGAGAAGGTGGAGGACAAACATAAAGAGAGAAAGAAACATAGGGGCGGGGGAGTGGGAAGAGAGAGCGCACGTGTTAAAGAGAGAGAGGCAGAGAGAGAGAGACGGATACAGAAAGAGAGGCGGAGTGGGCGCGCGCGCGGTGGAGCGGGGGGAGCAGGTGCGCGCACGCACGAGCAAGCAAGGGGGAGCCCGTGAGCGAGAGGGACATAGCGCACGTGCGAGAGTGAAACAGCAAGGGTGTGGGGCCGGGGTTGTGATTTCGCAGGCAGCGGCGCAAGGAAGGGCGCTCCTACTTCGGATCCCACAGAGTGTGGGCGGGTTGTCTTCGGGGGAACCGGAAGGAGGAGGGAAGAGCGTGTCGGTGTGCATGTGTGTACGCGCGCCCCCATCCCAGCCTCTCCACTCACCTTGCCCTTGCCCTTCAGCTTGTCCTTGGCATCCTGCCGCTCCCGGCTCAGTCGGCGACGCTGCAGTTCCGGGCCCACCGCCCTCTCCAGATGCAGCATCTGCTGCAGGGCCACATGCCCCACCAGGGAGATCAGGTTGGTCAACAGGTGGGCGGGCGCAGTCACGGCTTTCGGGTCCCCAGGGTCTGCTGGGGGGCAAGAGAGGGAGGACGGAGAAACACAACATGACAGAAGCGCTGGCACCTCAGCTGCTCTATCGCTGATAACCCAGCCCCGCGACCTGCCCTCTCCATTGCACATCACGCCTCCCCCAGCCTCCCCCTTCCTCTTGTCCCTCATGGATCTACAAACCAGACGGGGATCACCGTACCCAGAGGATCAGAAAGCTCACACACCCATATATTTTGTAATTTCTGCCCCTCCCCCCCTCTCCCTGGGGCAAGTGGACGGACGCAGAGCATGCTCAGGCTCCTCACCTTGGCCGTTGCAGGCCTCTTCCGATCGTTGACTGGGTGGCACTGCCACCTCCTCCTCCTCCTCTTCTGCCCTGGGAGCCGGGCGCTGAGCCAGCAGGCGGGCGCAGCGTGCCAGGAGACCCCCACAGAGGCGGTCCGGGTTCTCGGCCAGTTGGTAGATCAGGCCGACGGCAGCCTCGGCGAAGGGGCGCCAGTGAGGACTCCGGGATGGGAAACCTGGAGGCAACAGAGACAAGGGGAGGCAGGTTAATGGGCTCAAATCGGAGAGCACGCTCAAGAGAGAGACAGTGCACGAGACAGACAGAGCGTGGCAGAGAAAGAGTGAGAGAGAGAGAGACAGACAGAGCGTGGCAGAGAGAGAGACAGAGCGTGGCAGAGAGAGAGAGAGAGACACAGAGATAGAGAGAGACAGACAGACAGTCAGAGCACGGCAGACAGAGAGCATTACCTTCAGAGACAGTGTCGGCGATGTGGGTGAAAAGTGGGTGATCGTGGGGCAGGCGGAATGGCACAGTGCTGCCGCTGAGCAGCTTCTGGAAGAGAGCAAACCCAGCGCTGAAAGGGCAGCACATTCTCAAACACTGAGCTCAGTCTGTATGGAGAGAGAGCCCCATCACGTCCCCCACATCCCTTCTGGCTCACTGCCAGGATTACAATATCCGAACCATACACGCCCTCATTATCTCTGTCACCCCCTCCATCCGCCTACACCCCCTCCCTATCTCTGTCATTCCCTCCATCCCCCCACACCCCCTCCCTATCTCTGTCACACCCCTCCCTATCTCTGTCACACCCCTCCGCCCCCTCACTACGTCTGTAACCCCCTCTGTCCCATACACCCCCTCCCTATCTCTGTAACCCCCTCCAGCCCCTACACCCCCTCCCTATCTCTGTAACCCCCTCCAGCCCCTCCCTATCACTGTAACCCCCCTCCAGCCCCTACACCCCCTCCCTATCTCTGTAACCCCGCCTCCAGCCCATACACCCCCTCCCTATCTCTGTAACCCCCCTCCAGC